ATCTAATTACCATAAAAAAATATATTTATGTAGTTACCAAATATTTACAAAACCCAACTAGGTATTTACCCAACTAAGTATTTATTAACTAAGCCATTATCCGGATAATAAAAAAGATGGTAACTCTCGTAGGGAAAGTTCTTCTTCTCCCCTCAGTTAGATTTGTAATTTGTTCCATTTTAGTTTATTGTCGTTGTTGATTCTGGTCCAAGTCCTGGTCTGGGTCGGAGTCGGAGCCGGTGACACGTGACTGGTCCAGGATTGGCTTAGCTTTTAGGGGAACTCAATTGAATTTCGGTCACATCTTGTCATTGTCCGACAATCGAAATGCATTTTGGCTTTCATAAATAAATAGGTTTGTTAAATTGTCCATGCTCCAGAGGCTTTACAAGGCTATGGAGCTGGGTTGGGGTTCGGCTGCCAGTCCGGTTCTTTGTGCACGACTACCCAGGAGATCCTGGCCCGGTTTGTCACTGGATTTGAATACGCTTTCCATGCTCATCACGTCAGAAATTGCCTAAAGTCGACGGGAGTTGGGGTCAGGAGTCTGACAGTACTAAAGTCCTGAAGTCCTTTCCAGACCTTGGATCAAAGGAGCATTTAAGCAGCTTACCGCAAAATGAAAAGCGATTGAAATTTTCATGAGTTGCTCGCACTCCCCCCCCTGACGTCCTAAGAACTTTTTGCAAACAACAATTAGCCGAATATCCTGCAACTACTATACGTGCAGGACAGTCGTAACTGCAAGTAATTGATTTTCGCCATCAGTTTGATTTCCAATTTTCTGGCATCACACCCCCCTGTCTAAACTCAAGTTAAATGTGGCCCAAATGCCGGCAGCAGCTGCAAACATTGCGAAAAAATCTCTCAACTTTGATTGCGAATTTCTTTCTGCCTTTTCACCGAAACAATTTGCAGCTTCCCCGCGCCGCAAAATCCACAAAACCAGCTGGAGCTACTCCTCTCTTTGCATACGGACTTTTTTCTAATTTTCCGTTGCAGTTTTCACTCTTTTTTCCATTTTATTTTTGTTTTGGGTCGGTATATTTGCTATTTTTTGTATGCATGCCGGCATGCTTTGGCCGGGTTCAGTGAAGGATTTTTAAGGATTTAGGAGGAGTCTGCTTTGAGATATTGGATTTATAATTGAGCTGTAGATATTTACATAAATATTGATTAACTATTTTGTAGTATTTCCTAGGAGAAGGGATAAACTAAGCTAATCGATAGTTTATTTTCAATTTTATATTCGAATCCGCCCCTGTTTCATTTGGCACTCCTCTAGATTTTCTTATTTTCCAGATTTAGTGGGTGGCTTGCTTTTTTCAGGAACCGGAAAACTGGCAAAAGTGTTGCTTGCAAATGTTTACAGTTTAGTTGTGCGGATGTGATAAAAACAATTTGATTGCAAAATAAACTGCACACAGCATCGAACTTGCTAAGAGACCGTACAAAAAAGAAAATTTGGTGATTTTGCGAATGGAAAATGCCATCGGAATTTTCGGTCCAGATCCCAGAAAGCAATGCTTGAGGAGGAGCAAGCCTGCTCAACCGGAATGCGGATGGGAAATGTTTGATTGAGTCCCTGTTTGAATTTGATTTGATTTCGGACATCGACAGCCGGCGGTCCGTAAAAGGAAATTCTCTCGGAGAAAACTGAATTTCAGCTCTTACGCCAGGATTATTTCACTTTTCAAAAGTCTACTCTCTCTCTCTATCCTTTTCTCCTTAATTCGGTTTTTGAGCATTTTATGGCTGCACATTCCACGGATGAGTGATGCCTTATTGCACTTGGGTTCGTTTGCGAATGGATTGGAAATTGGTTAATTGGCTTGTGCATATCTGGCACTTTATTTAGTGATATCTTTATGCAACGTCAACGATTCAAATTTTAATTATTAAATGGCTCCTAATGTTGTTTTAATATTTAGAGACAGAACATACAGTTTTACATTTGTCGATCATTTATAAATGAATATTCTGCACGTTTAATTTGAGTAAGAAACCTAATACATTTTTCAATTTATTTTCATTTATGTTTATTTCCATTTCTGACAAAATCCTTTCTGAATTTAATTTAAACACAGGCTGCTTACAAATCTTTTTGTCACTGTTGAAAATTCAATTGAAATCTGCACAAACAGTCCGTTTGAATTGCTCTTTTATGTGAATCATTTAATCTGCCTTTTCTGCCTTTATTCTACCTAAATTCATTCATAGAAATGCCAGTGCAGAGCGCCGCTCGTGTTAATCCTTTCCAAGTTAATCTGCGTCAAGCCAAAACGTTGCCATTATTCCTGCCGGTTCGTCTGTCCTTCTGTCACTCCCTCCAACTGACCGCCTGTCTGTCCGTGGCAAGTTATGTGATTAATGGCAACAAACTGGCGGGACGGGGGGTTCGCGTCCTTCTTCTATGAACGACTAATTACATTGCGCCGGCCCCCGACAACAAAAAGGGAACAAAAAACTCATTAACTCACTTGCAACATGTCCTAAATATGTAATATTCATAATAGTTTCTCCATTTTCCCACACTCTCTTTGGCGAAAAGCGTATGCCCCGAAAGATGTAAAAAATATATTTATGTAATATAAGTCGGAATTCTACAGAGATTAGAACCTAGATTGATACCCTGTAGAAAAATATGTTAATCTATATATAAACAATATTTTCAGAATAAGTTAACACAAGTTGGGGTTTAGAATATTGTAAAATAAAACGTTATACTTAATATTGGTTATACTTTATACATAACTTAAAATAAATATAAATATTTTATATCTAAACCTTAATTTTAAATCTACACTTTGCTCATGAGTTTTATTGGTCAGACTGACAATAAATGCCCAACTCTGCTCTACATTTTTATATTCTTAAAGGTTATTAAAATTTCAGTCAAACGCTAACAAGGAGTCATTTCTGACCTTATAAATCATATATATTCTTGATCAGCATGAAAAGACAAATCGATCTGGGCATGTTCGGAAAGAAACAAATTTTTTAGATTTTTTTCGAAATTTTATAAGGGGTTTCATCGTTAAAATTGTGAAAAAATGATAAAAATTCAAATTCATTTTTTTAAATTTAAAATTGAGTATGGAGATTTGTTAACCTACTAAAAACTAACATAAGAGTGATTTCCGAATTGAAATTAATGCTTTTTTGGATTAGTTATGACAAAATACAACTTAAACCAGTGCGTATACGTACTATTTTTTGGGGCTAATATAAATGCTATAATTAAATTTTTGATTTATGGTTTAAGGACTTCAAGTGGGTACACCCATTTTCTATTCCTTTTCCAGAGTATCACAACTTTAACACAAGTGAAAATAAAAACTCAGTGTATGTTCATCATAAGCGTTAAATTTTCTGCGAGTGTGTTGCCTTTTTATGCCAGTTTCAAATGGAGGGTGGTACGGGGGGGTACATCCTCGTGACTCCACATTTTCGCATTATACATGAGCGAGTGTATTTGCTAGTGTGGCACACATGTTTTACATGAATCACAGTTAGTACGCCAGGATGCTGGCGAGCTGGAAATGTATGTGTCTGTTTTGTAAGCCACAAACGTGGCAACAAAAATGCGGGCGCCCTCAGTAACTCAGGGTGTGTGTGTCCGTGTGTGTGGTGTGTCCTGTGAAAAGTGACAAAAGCATTGACAGGAAACAAAAACTGTCCGCGCGGCCAAACACAAATGAAACCAAAAATAAAACAAGAAACAGAAACAGATGCAAAGCGCTGCCAAAGAAAACTTTTTTTGCGGCCAAGGATCATGGTCACGGTCGTCCGAACAGATAAGATAGGACCTGTGAAGGGCTCTGCGAAAGGACCCCTTGCTATGGTCCTGGTCTCGGGCGAAACTTGAACGAGGATGTGGCTGCCAACTTTTATTGATGGCCAACCGCAAACTTTAGGGGTCATTTCTCTGAGTCGACTTTTGACCTTTCTAGAGTTGGCAGTTTTCGGCGAGCTAGTTGGTCGAGTTAGTTGTCAAGTGACTTCTTAGAATTTAAACTATAAATGTTTTTAATACTAAATTAGGGATTTAATTTCCATAGCTTCCTTTTTAATTAGTTCTTTTCTTTTCTACATACATATTCAGTTCACTTATATCTCATCCAACTGGGTTTATTTAGAACATATTTATTTTATTGGCCACTTGGTACCACAGTTCAAATGAATCAGCTTTGGCTAAAGGGAACACCCAGGACAGCACTATCCTTATCCGTTCCAGCATCTGTATGTGTGATTTCTCTGGGTGAGCTGGGTGAGGTACCAAAGGAACGAACTGGGGCTGCTGTTGCCTTTACAACTGTTTCTGCCGGTTTTTGTGTGCTTAGCCAACTGTCAAGCGACTGTCAATTGTTAATTAAATGTATACCCTTGGCAGCTGCTGCCACCAAGTTCACTTGATTTGTTTCGGCCGTAGTGTTTGGATACACCAATAAAAATTAAATTCTCTAAGAGTTTTAATTTCACAATATTAAATTTCTAAATGTATTTAGCAACAAAGTAACTGACTCAGAAGGAAGAAATAATAATGGGATCTTCTTTGCGCTTTATTCAAAATTAAATGGTAATAAAGGGTACAATCTAAATATTCATAAATTATAAATATATCATAAAATCTATTTATTAACCTTCTGTAGCAAATTTTCTCTCTCTGTTCCTGAGCATACATATACAGCGACTGACTTTTGGGACTGGACCTCAGAGTCTGTCACACTCCCATTTCCGATTTCCCACTACGCATTTCCCGTTTCCACTCATGAACATTTGCAGATACATTTATTGCGAAAGTTTGCCAGGCGGCAGCAGCATCTAATTTGTGTAAGCTTTATGTTAATATTGTTACGGTCCTGACAGTTTTATTGCCCCGAACTAATAACTTAATTGACAATTTGAGTTGGCGGCGGCGGGGGGAGTTGGGCCTTGTCGCACCTGTTGTGCCTGTAATGTTCGTAATTTATGAACTGAAACATAAATAATCGGCTCAATTGATGCTGCACAATTTGATTTATTAATTTTCGACCCTAAGTCAGTGGGTGGAATAATCGAATAACGAATGAGTAATGACAGAAAGGACGCCGCCTCAACCGTCGGATCCCCCTATCATCTGCAGTATGTCCAGGAAGATGTTGACCATATCCATGTAGAGATTGAGGGCGGCGAAAATGTACTCCTCGGGACTGATCGAATAGCGATGCTTGCCGCCCATCATCATCTGAGTGTCGAAAACCAAATAAAAGGAGAAGAGGAGGGCGCCCAGGCAGACGAACACCTTGCTTAATACGGAGCTATTCACGAACATCGTCACGAATCCAAAAACTAGCAGGACCAGCAGGAAGGACACCAGCATCCCGCCCATCATGGTGAAATCAAAGCGTGTCTGCAGGGCAAAGACGGTGAGTCCCAGGCAGACCACTGCCGTGATCACCACAGACATGAAGATTTCCTTCGGGGCATAGCGGCATGCCACAACGCTGACCAGGAAGGACTGGGCGATGGAGAACATCATCAGAAAGATAAAATTCGTGGGCGTCCGCCGACGGGCGCCCTCGTTGCAGGTCAGGATGCCCAGGGTGACCAGCATCCCCACCCAGGCGAGCAAGAATAGCACCTTACTCTCCTGCACGTACAACTTGACATCATCGTCGCAGGTCAGCAGCGCCAAGAGGCCCAAAGTGGCAATCAACTGGGCCAGCAGGATCAGGTACACCTTTCGCACAAATCCCCTGCGAATGCTGTCGTTGCTAAAGCCAAGGCTCTTCGGTCTTTGCCCCTCCTCATCAGCGGGCTGTATGTCGGAGCCATATGTAGGATACTGTCGTAAGGGAATGCAGTTGGCACATGGCACGGGATCTCCTCCGACAGCCTGCATGGTGATCTTCTAAGGAAAATAATAACTGGTATGTCTCACTGGATTCCTGCGAAGAAGTCAGTAACCTGACACTGGGCCAGGGTTTTGGGATTTGACAAAGAAGTCACCGGTTACTTTGCACATATAAATTTCTTCTTTTAATTATTTATCTCATTAGGAATTTTCACAAACTATTTTCACTTATTTCACTTGTAAATAATTCCCCTTAGCCACTTTCCTTTCCTGAGTGGGTCAATAGTTTATGAATTGATCTTCTTTCCAATGGATTACAATGACGGAAAACTACAATTACAACAGGTGGTGCTGAAGCACACCACCACAACCTTAGTTCAGGGGATTCCCTTTCCCTAAATACTTTTTCTCTCTCAAATTTCGCTCCTGCGCACTGAGGAAATTCAGCAAAAAGCTGAGAGTTTTCCGTGTATTTTCGTACGGTTGGCTGAATGAGTATCACCGTAGCATTCAGTACTTTCGGCTCCTTTGTGGCTGGAGTGGCCAAAAAATATATAGTGTCGAGTGAGGAGTGCATTTGGCATATTCTGATTGCCTGGCCACGCCAATCCGACGTAGTCTGACGTTCTTTTTCGGAAAACATAAAAAGCCTTTTATACGGCAAACTGCGGTGAATATTTAAGGGGCCAAAAATTAGGCAAAATGCTTGGCATAAAAATTAACTTGACATAGGCATACTCTACTGCTCATACCTTACCAAAATCGAGGACACTTTTTGTGGCACACATCAATCAAAATGCCATTTAGTGTGCTGTCCCCTAGGTAGGGATTAGAGCCTCTGCCGCTGGCACGACACATGTTGCGTTTTAAAGTTAAGTACACCCTCCGTGTCCCCCACTTGTTCGCTTTTTAAGGCCCCCAAGCTTTTGTCGAACAACTATCAACAAGTTTGCCTTTTGTCTCGATGTTATTTGTATTTTTGTTGTATCTTTTTTTGGAGGCAAGTTAAGCCCTAAGCTGGAATGCGTCACGTGTCGCCAGTTGCAAGAGCTCCTCCAGGCTAATGAAAACAACCTCTCAACCTTGGTAAAAATCAAAGGCAGGCCAGAATAGGGCAGAACAAAAGGCGGCAGCCACTTTTCAAGACTGGGCGTGGCTGGCCCTGCCATCTATCAACACTTTTGAAACTTTAAATGAGTTTTCGAGCGACATAAACTTTGCCTGGTTTGGCCCCCGAAAAAAGCCACACCGAAAAAAACCAACCAAAACAGAAACTAGAACAAAGTCACTGCGGAAATGAAACAATGTCCCAACAATTGGCCTGCCACAACACTTTAAAGTGGTTTTGAGTTTTTTTTTTTTAAATAATATTCAAAGGAGAGAATAAATTCTGAAAGTACAACTCAATTTTTTACAGGAAATAAATAGGACGAAATTTATTCTAGCTTGAATTCTTCTAGTTTGAATATAAAACTGAAATTTTTAATACATTTGGACTACAATTAAATATATTATTGATATAATAGAAACACGTTATAAATAATGAATAATTTACGTTGCATTGCAACTTTAAAATAGAAGTAATAATTTCTAGACTAGTGGAAGAAGACTATTATTGAAATATAAAACCGATTTTAAAACAAAATGTGACTGGACTGACCGTTCTTCTGTCTTTAAAACTTGTATTAAATATGTTAAAAATATGTCCTCATAACCCCATATTTGGGAAACCCATTTAATTAGATATTTCTCAGTGTGGACTTAGTGGAAGCGCAAAATCGATGACAAAAAACCAAGAGAGACGGTCAAAATGATGGTCAGAAGTACCCGTGCTGCGGAATTGCTGAGAAGAAATGGACCACGAGCCAGTGATTCTGGCTTAACAAATGCTAAACAAGCCGTGAACAACAACCCACCCAGGACCACAAAAAGCGGTGACTGGCAACAAAATATTAAGCTATATATAGCACAGTATTTACTTCCTTTTTTTGGGTGCGAGAGCCATTGCAGTTTAATCTATGCAAATCCGGAAGAAATCTCATTTTGCGGATTTAAAGTTGATAAAAGTGTGGTGCAGCCGGCAGCACAGAGTCGTCCGTTTTTGATGGTGAAAAACAGTATAAGAACAGGATTCGGACTCGCAAAAAGCACTCCCCGATTCGTGTGAACTCAATTCTTTTCAACATTTCTTTTATTTTATGCATTATTATACAGAATATTTTATTTTTATACCCCATTTTATTTTCGCCTTGTTTGTCATTGTTGAATTTTTATCCATGGTGCTCTTATTTGGGGCCTGAGTCCCAGAGCAATCCTCAACCCTTCGGCGGGGTCATTAAAATTTACAATTCGCCAAGGGCAAGAAAGTTCAGTGCAGATACAGGACTCTGCTTCATTTGCCTTACTTTCTTCCTGTGATGCAGTCAGTCAGCGGGCTCTTTTCTGGGTCTGCATCTGGTCCACAATTAATTTTAATTTTTCGAAATATACATTTGTGGTTTTGCCTTGGAGTCAGTTTCTTCTTACATAAAGGGTTGCTCTTTAAAATTAAAGTGTTTAAGGTTTATATAATAATTTGTATAAAACTATGTAAACCTAATTGACGGAAATATTATCCATTTTACACCATATATATTTTTTATGAAGCAAAAAAATATATTCCATTGATATATTTTTTGTAGTCCTTTTGGCATGTGATTTACAATATACTTTGGATTTGAAATGCAGTTGAGTTTTCATAGCTGGCTCATAGTCACCGCCGAGTCCTTTGAACATTTCAAAGAGTCGGCGACACCTTTCCAAGTTGATACACAATATTTGTGTTTATGCTGTCATTTGCATAGTGCACTCGCATTCCAGGACAACAGATCCATAGTCAGAGACGGAGCCGGAGCCTGTGAAATGCAAATAGGGATAGCTTAATGCCCCCTACGGTTCAACGACTGGCCCGGAATATCGAGAAAACTGTTTAATATGCTGCACATTGTGCTTGTACTCGCCGGCGGCTGCTTGCAGTTCACAATTTTCCAGAGCTAGAAGGACCTTCTCCTCATCGCACTCCGACCAAAAGCACAAATATTTTTGGAGCAAGCTAAAATATTTGCCAATAAACAGAGAGAAAGACCAAGAGTGGCAAAGTTTAACCGCAAAATGTCCGTAAAGTTCATGGTCATTGGCTCATCATCATCGAACGGACTCAGACACAAGGATCCCCCTAAGACGAGGGACAATCAGTCAGTTGACAGGACTAACAGCTGCTGATGCTCCTTGTTCGTTGTGCAAGTTTTGCTCTTTTCGGATGGCACTTAGAATTTGTGGAATTTATGCTCGAAAGCTGAAAGTTTCTTCTCGTTTAATTGAAATTTAACTTGGCCTTACCCGACACTCATCTGTTTTGGCTATTTTTCAGTGGCTTTCGTTTAATTGAAATTCATTCGGCAATCCGCCCTCTGGCAGAAGGCGAGAGAGAGCTCTGCATACATTCGTTTCCTGGTATATTTTTAATTGCTCAACCAAATGGTGTTTTGTTTTCATTTCGGTTTCATTTTACTATTCATTTAATCCTTTATGGCCACAAAACTGATGACAAATGCTTATCCCTTCAGGCCATAAAAAAGGCAATGAAAATAGATGATGGGATATTTGTAAATCAATCAACGGACACATTGAACACATCACTTCACACACTTTTTGTTTTCATGCAACAAAAGAGGTCTTATGGGCTTATTTAGTTTTTAATTTAAACTAAATTGTTTTCGTTTCCGTTCTCTTTTTTGCCAAAAGGGATTATTTTACAATAGGAAGAGGGGTAAGGCGATTGCAACTGGGCTTAGACTAAAAAGTCTCTGCATAAATTGACCTTTCAAAGCTTAATTTGTATTCAAAAGGCTTTGAAAATGTATATGTAATTATGTTTTTTAACTACTTTCCGGATTTAAATCCTTGTTAAAAAATTTCAGAAGAAAACAAAGGCTAGTCGATGAATAAATTGTACAACAACTTCTACGGAAGTTCATTTACATAAATATGTAACTCCAATTGATTGATTTTTCAGACATTATCATCATAAAATATTTACAAGCTAACTACGACTTTAATTGCTTAATATGTTTACTCCGTTAGTAAATGTTATTATTTAAAACTTTAAATATATTTACCGTCTGAAAGGTCTCTTCATTATTTCCCCATGGACGGCACACGGCCTGTGGAAAACAGCGGAAGTGCCATCACAAGGCAATTGCTTTTGGGATTTATTTTTATTTGGGTTTTGAGTTTCGCAAAGAAAAAATAAAATAAAAATAAGCGAATTCTTCCGTGCTTGTTGGCATGCATGCATGAATAAATATTTTATTGCACACACACGAGCACTTGGGGGTCGTTGTTTCAAGAAAGAGCCGGGAAGCTCATAAAAAGGAAAGTTTTGTTTTAGGTTTATTATTATTATATGTGTAGTTGAGGAGAGCGTACATATCAGAAAGCGCAGTTTTTGTTGACAAGCCAAAGGAAACCCGGGAAATCAGAATTTAGGAAGTAGAAAACTGCAGGTACTTTTTATTCCGTGGGTTAAGGCACTCACGCAGCACAGAGAATTGCACTGCAAATTCGAAATAAAATTTGTGAAATGGCAGTCCAGGGTCTTCCCCTAAATTTTGGCCACAAACTACACCCTACGCAGCTGGAAACTCTAGGAGTTCTCTCGTATTGGTGCCCTTTTTCTGGCTGACATTTCCTTTTTAGCCTTTAATGGAATCGTAAAGCTTCTGGTAACAAAATGATTGTTTCACTTTCTTTCTTATTTCGGCAAAAGGGCAGCAGCACTGCACTTCAGTACAGTTTGGTTTTTGTATGGTTTAAGCACTCGCAATTATTTTTCTAATGAAAATAATGCCTTTTTCTTTGAGCAAATGTTTAGCATAATCTGTAAATGCTTAAAAAATTTTCCAAAATTATTCAACAACTTTTCTGTGCTGTTAAAGTAAAAGACTTGAAACAAATGCTGATAACTTGGGTTATAACCAATATCTATAGATATATTTTTAATCAAAAATGTTTTTTAAGCATTCAATTAAATGAATTTTGTTTCAAGTGCACTCAAACCTACACCTACTCTTGTACCCACACAGTAGAAAGAAGCCCACACACACTGGGAATGGCAACGCTTGGCGCGCTCTCCGATTACATTACCGCGTTGCTCATACGCAGCGTTGTCGCCGGGCGGATTTGTGCATTAATTAGAGCAACTCTTGCGACTGGCGACTGGCAACTGGCAGCTTGGAAACGTATCGCGTGCCCCGCGTGCTGCACGTATGTATATGCGAGTGAGTGTGTCGACTTGACTCCGCGCGCGCGGCAATTAAAATGTTGCAATCGAATATTCATTAAAGACCAATTTGCAGTGAAAGCACATCTGGTATTTTGGCATCATGGCAGCTAAAAACTGGGGCAATGCGAAAGGAATTGGTAGGGGGGGATGGAAAACTCTTAGAAGCAGGTGCTGGTGCTGCGGAACGGACATCCTTTGACAGCAAAACGAAATCTAAAATTCGCACAGCTGCTCGGAAAATTTGCAAAAAGCGCCCGAAGCCAGGCCAAGAAACTTGAGCGGCAGAGAGAAATATTGTATAGAAGCGGCTTAATTTCGTCAGTTCTTAGGAGGAAAAGTTTTTTGTGCGGGGGTCTCGCAAATCTGCCGGCATAATTATTATGAATTATGCAGCAAAATAACTTGGCCCCCAATGCTAATGGACCTGGCCCACGGGCGCAGGCCAGGACTTCCTGCTCCCTTTTAGACAAAGGTATAGTGCAACTAATTGACAAATGATGATAAAGTGTCTCGGACAGCCCTCCAAAAAGGAGCACTCCTAAAGTGACTACTACTCTCTACCGCACTTTATGGTACAATATTTCCTTAACGTGGCCGCCCTCCAGTCCACGGGTATTTCACTCGCCTTGGCCTTCGCCGCAGTTTTATGTCTGATAAAAGCTTTGTTTGTGCTGACGGAAACGGATGTTAACTGCCACACCGAATGGCCGCTGACATGACCAGCAGAGGGTGGAGCTGGGCACTGAGAAAAATTCAAGTAACAAAATGAAAGGTAGAGAATGAATTGTGAAATCTAAAAGAGGGTGACTTTGGGAAAGCCAGAAAATATCTGCATATCCTTATATCAGTATTTAAACTTTGCAATAAAACATTATGTATATATATACAATAACTTTGATATGATTTTAAGTGATATATTTTAATTTTTCGAATCATTCATTTCGGCTGTATATTTCTCCTTGTGCTTTGTTGTACTTATATTCCCAGATGAACGAGAATATTATATCTTGGTCAGCACCAGCCTGAATAAATATTTGCCCATATTTTTTTTTCGCTTTTTCCAGGGTATCAGCGGTGCTGTAAAGGCCCCTTGAGAACAGACTCAACTTGTTTGATTTATGGAGTGCCAAAACGCATTTACCTTTTGCCGCTTTCTCGCTTGCTCCATCTCTCCGTCTACCTGCCCATGTTGACTTTAAAGCGTCAAATTAAAAATCCCACCTCACCCTCAAAATATCGACCCCGCAATGTCCAATGAATTATGCAAGTAGGAGGAGGGAGTTGGGCTTTCATACCGCTAGCAAAATTGTGAGTATTTAAATCATCTCCGCATCCCCCAGCATCTCTTTCTCGATTGTCGCAAAATCGTTGGCATATTTTTCAGCAAAAGTGGCACAATTTTGAAATATTTAGAGGCCAAAAATAAATGCGGTCCCCTCGCCAGCTAAGTGTCCTCTCAAATATTACCGCAGCGGAAACCGGTGTTTCATATCAGAAATATTTGGCGTGATTTCTCAGGCTTTATTAGTCAGTTTTATATTTTAAACAAAATTTGAAAGCATTTTTGTCACGTTGTCAGAGGGAGGGAAAAGAGTTATTTAAGGTAAAAATTTGTTGGAGCAACGCTAGAAAACATTATGAATAAATGAATTTTTTAAACAAAATAATTTTAAGGTTTTACTTTAATCAGTATAAAATTAATTCAACACGTTTTCCCTAGGTCAGTTGAAATATCTTTATTTTTTATACTATTGTTCTGAGTATAAAACGCTTGCTTTATGATTTCTCTACGACACATCCTTTTTGTCCTTTCTCAAAGGTAAAGAGAGATTTCTTTTTCCTTGCCTAATTTACGGGCTAAAATAATTCTGGCTGAAAATGAACTTTTTTTGCATTTTTGCTTTCCTCTTGTTAATTGGTCTAATTTGTGTAATTAGAAATTTTGCGGTACTCCTTGTGTAAATTTGAAACCTTTGCCGTGGGGACTAATAAATTGGCTTAATTTGAGTCCAGACTCTTGACTCCCTTGGGTTGGAATTGGTAAGCCCACCGCTTACGAAGATTTCCACAGGGATATGTGGAAAAACAACGCAGTTTAGTGATGGTAAAAAGCAAAACGAGGGAGACACCGGAAGGAATAACATATAATAAAGCCTCTATATACATAATTGTCAAGGTGAAAACTTACCTCAGTAGGGGATACGCGGTCATCCTTTGCTTAATTCCTGGCAGACCTAAATTCTTTGTGACTTCAGTAGGACTTCTTCCTGTTTATCCAGATGTATGATATATTTCGATCACTACCAATCACTATAGATGTAAACACTGCGAGGGCCACGGACAGAATGAGGTGAGTGCGACGGCAGTGCCTGTATTTATTTCCTCCAAGAAAAGAGAACAGAGAAAGTGAGAGTGAGAGTGAGAGGGAGAGAGAGAAAGGATGCCTCTAGGCATAGGACTAGGCCTAGGGACAGGCATAGAGCGTAAGGGATATCTCTAGAGAAACACAGAGAGAGGTGCTCATACTGAAAATAGCACAGATAAAGAGAGGGAAAGAGAGCCTAATTGCAACCTAAAAATCATTTATTAATTCTCATTTTAAAATTCACTAGATATAATATCTTACATAGCCATTAGTAGATCCCAGCTAGCATGCCTTGTGCACTTATTAGACTTCATTTAAGTTGGCCAATTCCCACCGAGTTGGTGATATGTGGCCGTTGCCTTTGCTAATCAGCTTAGGTATTTTGCATACATTAACATTCGCCATTAATTTACTATTACACAGAGTGCGTGTGTGGGTTTCTGTCGCTATCTAAACCGTTATGAAGTACTATTGCCCCCTCAGTCCCCTCTGGCAGAGAGAGATCCCTGTGCGTGCCTGCCATTTAATTAACTGCACACAGACAACATTTTCAATCTCGACTATAGCTATGTATCTCCGCCGATGTCATTGCGGGAAGGGGAATATGAAGTGGAGTTGCCATTCCAATGGCAATCTGAAATCTGAAATCTGAAATCCGAAATGCTGTTATAATAACGCAAACAAGCTGTTGGGGGCTTACAGAATTTAATCCTCCGTCTGTCTGTGGGGCGGTGGGACTAAAAACTAATTGAAATTGCCATATTTCATGCATAATATACAAGAGAGCAAAGACCGAGATAGAATCTTACAGAACATAACATTTGATAATACCATTTGGATTTTCGTCGCATTATAAGTTGCGAGTATCTTTTTGATACACTTATATTTGCTTAACTTGAATGAAAATTCAATTATGGCAACAGGTTGAAAGGCAAATGTGCACAAAAGATTTAGATTTATCATTATTGATATGAATTGACATGCAAAGTGATTGGAAAGACTTATTTTTAATACGTGGGTGAAGCTAAAACATCGAGATGGAAAATTTATAAATTATTAAAAGCCTTTTTTCTTCCCTCATAAAATTATAAAATGTACTTACCATAGAATGTGAAAAAATAAGATAAACTAACATAAAATGTAGTTTTTTTTTGTGAACAAAGCTTGTCATCTGAATGAGTTTACATAACAATTGGTAGAGTCATCGGAAATCACAGAATCCATTTCCTGGATAGCCCCGAGCACCTTGATAAGTAACCCTAACAGACAATATCCACGCGATTGTGACCGTGGGCCTGGGGGCCCTTGCCTCTTCTGGGAGCCTGGCCGATCAGAGGAGCCGGCCCTGCCAAGAGATCCCTGCGCTTCCGCTCGAAGGCATTGAGACCATCTGGTCCCTTGTCGGATAGCTTGGGAGGTCGCGGGCGTGTATCCTTGCCCTCGCTCGGATTCCATGGTCGCTTTAGAATGCCCTGATTCTGCAGGTATTTCATCATATCGGGGCCCTTCTTTTTCTTCTCCGCAGCGGCCCTTTCTGCCTCTTGAGCCGCCCTGGCCGCATCCTGGGCAGCCTTGAGGAATCTCTTGGGATAGCGGACTGGGATCGGTCCGCTTTTGCCACCGCGGCCACCCTTGCCGTCCTTTCCACCAATACCACCCTTGACCCCAGGGAATCCCTTCCAGGCGCCGCCGCCCAGACCTCCGGGACCTCCAAAACCTCCGGGACCTCCAAAACCGCCGGGACCGCCTCCACCCATTCCACCGCCACTCACGGCTCCTTGTCTACGTCCGCGTCCAGCGAGCATTCCTCCCCCACCACCTCCAACTCCAAATGCAGCATATGGTCCTCCACTTGCTCCACCACCTGGTGCGCTGCCACCCCATGCATTGCCTGGCCGGATACCGCCGCAGGGCATTGGATTAGGACCGTGGGGTCCGCCGCCCGCCAGGCCGAAGACGCCGTCCTCGAAGACGAGCTCGCCCGGCCATCCGAAGGCGGTGCCCATGTAGCGATCTCCGAGGGCGCAATCGAATCCCCGGTAATAGGGAGGCACCTGCATGGGATATTTTGGCGGCATCGGCACCTGGTCCTTCTTTGACGTCTGGGTGCCATGGTTTACGCTCGGAGCAGGAATAGGCGGTGGATACTTTTGCTCCGTACCCGCCGGTGGGGTGACATCGAAGTCGTATTCCATGTCGCTCTCGCTGGTGTCGGTTAGGATCAGATGCTCGGCTGCGGGTGCGATATAGTGACGCCGGCACTCCTTGTCCAGGGCCCGCTGGAGCTGCCTCTTCTCGAGGGTGTTGCGACAAGTGCACATCATTAGGGACTGGTGGCAGGTGCACTTGCGAAAGCCCTTGTCCTTGAGCTTCCGCTTAATCTGGCGCAGTGCCACCGCCAGATCGCTCTTCACGATACGGAAGGTGATGGGTTTCTGGCGGACGCCCAGGGTACTCAGCGGACGCAGCGTGATATAGATGGCGCCGTCCTTCTTGCAGATATTCAAAACTGGAGCGGCTAGCTCCTTTTCGTGCTCCAACGCCTCAGCCTCCCTGAGCTGGGAAGAGGCACTCTTATCCTGCGATTGCTCCAGAAAGAACTTCATCAGATTCTTGATGGGCTTGCGGATGGCTCCCGGACGCCAGCCCAGCTTCTTGGCCTCCCAACTGTTGCTCCATGCCCAGCCATGGTTGCGGGATACGAAGCCCGCCTGCCTGACGCACTTTTTGTGTCTGCTTGAGATCTGACCCTTTTGGTTGGGCGGTATATACACAGCTTTGGCTGTTGTTGACTGCTCCTTCGCTGCCGGGCTCTCCATCTTCTTGGTCTCCGCCGGTTTTGCCTTTATCCCTGGTGCTGCTGGTGCTGCTGGCTTGGTCGCCGTCCGCTCACAGTTTTCGTCCAGATCGGACATCTTTTTGGTATCCTTGATGTCATAGAGGTCGCGCAGTTCGGAGAAGACCTTGGCTAGATATGGGCGGCAATCGTCAGAGCTCTTGTTCACCACACAATAGTCCTCCGACTCCTTGGGCTCCAGCTTGGGGCACTTGGGCGGTAAACCCTTGTCTGGCTTGAAGATGTCGGCGCAGGCTTTCCGGATGCGACAGTGAGCGCACATCTTGCCGTACTTGCAAGTGCAACGGCACGGCGGACACTCTTCATTGGCGGCAGCCTCCGATTTGGCCTGCAAGGCCTTCTCGCAGGGATTCTCACAGTAGTCCTCCACCGTAGGCGGCGGCTGGCCCAGATATTCGAGCAGAATCTCTTCGGCGGACAGCTTCTTTTCCTTGTGCCGCTCCTCCACCACCGGCATGGGTTTGACGCCACATTTGGGGCACGAGGCGAACTTGGGAAGCCAGGACATGTTGGTCAGGCAGACGGGACAGAATCGAATGGGCTTGATGTCTTGCATAGGTTCGCCATCGCAGTCGGCAATCGGCACCGGGATGAGGTTGCGGTCGCAAAAGTCCGGCATTTCTTCATTCTCCTGGTAGGCGGGCAGATAAACGAAGCACGGCTTATTCGGCGGCTCCGGCAGATCGAGCAGCATCGGTGGATCCGTCTTCTGGCAGAAGCAGGGACTCATACCGAAGGCGGCTTCTTCGTCGGGATCGCGACATGGCGGAACGGGTGGCGGCGCCTTGCCCGTGGATTTGGTTATAGAGTCTATCATCTGCTCGTACTCAATGGCCATTTTCTGGGGGAAAAATGGAAGAAGCAGATATTATGCCAGACTGAATCCAACGGCTATACAAACCCACCTTCAGTTCACAGCAGGCTGGGACCATAGACGGATTGTCTGTCGTCATCTTGTAGGGCTTGATGCCACCGCCCTGGCTGCGGTATCGTTCTAGGTCCAGCCGGAGACGCTCGTCACCCTCCTCATCGTCCAAATCATTAGCACACGGCGCGCAGGCACTGGGACATACCTGGGACTCTCCCAGAACGAACATGATGTCCTGTGGATTGATGCTTCGGTCCATCAACCGTTGGCACTCGGTCTCGCCCTCTCTGAAAGCAGATGAATAATTGCAATGACGCTGAAATGGAAGTTCCTGCTCTAACAGAAGAAAGTTCGATTCACTTACTCAGGAGCACACATGCAAACCAGGCGGCAGAGGAACTCCAGTTTGCCTGTCACCTCACCACCGCGCTCCAATGCGATGGTATCCGTGTGGACAATGTCAGCCATATCCCGTTCGATGGAATCTACGATGCCGAGGGGAAACGATGTCTGAGCGGCACCAATGATCTTCTTGGCATAGGTAACCGCAAAGGAGAGACCGCAATCTTTCACCAATTTGCGCATATCCTTGGGGTCCTTCTGGAAAGTGAGGCTGCTGTTTGGCCTGAAGTCGCTGGCGTTGACCTGATCGGGCCCCAGATCCATTTGGATCTTGCCAAAGGTGGCGATGACCTCCAGTTTAGAGGGATTTGTGAACTCGGCACTAGGAGACTCTACATGGGTGACGACCACGTCGAAGACGAAGATTGGCGGGGAAACCTTCTTCGGCTTTGCGGCCTCCGGCGATTGCTCCATTGTGGTCGCATCGGGCTCCTGTTTCGGACCCATCTCTGTCGAAATGGCTGGCAATCTGTAATTTTGAGCTCTGCCTGTCGTGGCCTCACGAAACCAGAGTGAGCTTTTAATAGACGATTTTTTTACTTTTAATTTTTAAAATGGGGAACACTGTTTTTGGGGAGGACTATACTACTCTAAACTTTACAATAAAACTGGGACTCCGACAGGCAAATACGGAACGTAAAAGCAAGACCATCTACGACCAAAGTGAAATATAAAATGATCAGAAAATGTCTACTCAGAGCCTTTGATTTGGAGAGCTACGGTTGTTCGATGGGGATTCCTTTGGGCTTTTTTCCAGCTCAAGCGAGACAATATATATTTTTGTTGTGCTTTAGAAATGTTTTTTCCAAAAACTTAGATCAGAAGTATGTTTAAAGATGAGCTAAACTACAAAAGAAAAGACAGAACACGCTATTTGAAATACATATAACATTTTATTGAATGCTTTCATACACTTTTACTTTACTCCAACATGCCCCTTGGTAATTCGGGTTGGCGGCCATATTCGCCGCTAAATACAGAATCGCTACCATATCCAACTCTACGGCCTTTGGAAAGCTGGTAAGACTGAAATATCGGATCCTTTACTTGGTCATCCGAATTGGCCTGGACGCAGGCCAGAACGACGATGAGGAGGAAGGTGGCAGCAAAGGCAAAGAACTTCATCGTGGCTGATTTGAATGCATTCTGGGAGTCAAGCAACGTCTTTTATACATACTAGCTGACTTTTTCCACCTGCTGGATATATAATTTCTAATTGCAGATATAGAATATCCGGTGGTAATTCTGGTGAATTTTATCAAGTGTTCTTTTACCTTCAGAAGTTTTTGCAGTTGTTCTTTGTGTTAACAAAGAACGAAATGCTTTTTACTCAAAACAGGTTGCTTCATGAATGTTAAGACTAATCGATTTTTAATAAAGAAACCTATTTTGGGACGTTGCTAAAATTAATAATAAAGCTTTAATACAGTTTTTTACTCTTTCTATAATATTGATCAATATTATTATAGCCATGAGACTTTGTATGTATTCAGAAATGATTCTTGATCAAAAAAAGATTTTCCCGTTAAAGTTTCTGAGATATTATTAAATAAATTGTAGTTTTTTCATTAATTGGAAGAAAAGTTCACTTTTGAAGCACGTAGTTTCTTTCTGTTTTTGTTAAATTTATTATAAATTTATGAAATATTATAATAATAATATTGTTATGTCAAAAAGGGTCAGATCAGACAACTGTTTCAGATTATAGCTGGCTTGATAAAAATATATAACTTTGCTGTTGTTTAACATAATTCCATCCACTCTTAGATATATCTATTCCTTATATTTTTATTTGTATTCTATAAAAAAAGCGAAACTATTAAAGAAACATTCAATGCTATATTTATTGGATTTATTCTTTTTTTTACAATTTGAAAATAATTAAATTTAATCAACATCGGATGGCTATTTCTGTAGCTGCCATAACAACTTTCGGTTTTTAGTTTAGAAAACATAATAAAAAGTTTAGTGTATTTATTCGTTATTGCTTTAAACACTTTAGTAAGGTTCAATCGAATCCAATTGCAATCTCCAAAAGTATACAGAATTTGACTTTCCGAATAAACACGCTTAGTTTTTAGTAATGAATCAAACGCATGGCATTTATAAATATCAAAGTTGTAATTTGATCTAAAGAAAATACTAAAGAAAGTATAAAAGAAAAGACAGAATATGTTTCGAAAAAACGAAATTTTTATTGATTGCTTTTATTCACTTCTACTTCCTTCCAAGACAGCTGGTTAGCTTTCCTGCCAGAAGTTAATGGTGGCCGTGACCATGGCTGACTGGGGCGTTGTGACCATGGCCAGCTGGTGCACCGTGACCATGGCCTGCGGGAGCGTTGTGACCACCGTGTCCCACAGGACCTGATGATCCGTGCCCACCATGGAGAGACGGTTGCTGGTGGCCAGGAGTGGCCTGGACAATGGCCAGAACGGCGATGAGGAGGAAGGCGGCAGCAATAGCAAAGAACTTCATCGTGACTGTTTTCGATGCCTTCTGAGAACCGCACGAGCTCTTTTATACTTACTCACTGGCTTTCTCCACCTGCTAACAATATAATTTATAAGTTATGGCACTTACTCAAATCGATGATTTTTTTTTAACACCGGTTACTGTAGATGTTTTTGCAGTTTTATCTGCAGTGTTAATGTTTATTGCTCAGAACAGGTTGTTTAATGACAATAACAAATAATCGATTATTATTATTGAAGCCTATTTTCGGGTGTAAAGTTATATAATTAAATTATATATATTGTATATATATTAGTACCCGTAGAGGATATAAGAATCCTGCCAAAGACGACATAAGTCTCAAAAAAATATATATTTAAAATGGGTATATGCATTTTCCTTTTCATTTCTTTAAATACTTTACAATATTATATCATTCATATACTTATAAAGCCATTAAAGAAAAATAAAAAGACAAGAGGGAAGGAAAATCTTCATGATGGGAAATTTGTACTGCAGTCTGGATGATGGGAAACACCTCACATATCTGGATTCTGCAGAAAACCAGTTCTTTAATATGTGTATTAACTCTCTGGTTTTTTGTTCTTGTAAATAAATAAAAAAAAACTGTTATAATTTATATTCACCTTGGGTTTAATGAGAAACAGTATTATTATTGAAAAAACACCTGGCACTCGTTATCTTTGGCTTAAACAACTGTATTATTCAAAACAGGTTGTTTTGTGGCTAAACAAAATTATTAAAATGAACAAACAAAACCGAGAACTGGTAAATAATTATATTTATTGCTTGGATTAGCTAGCATTTTGCGGATAATTTTCTGCTGAGGATCATTCTACAATAAGTGCCCTTCTCATATAAATGTATAGATATAAATAATATGGATTAAAAAATAGTATTATAGATTTCGCCAGAAGCTTTTAACGCTTAGAAGGTGTCATTTCCGACCCAATAAATCATATATATTCTTGATCAGCAATAAAAGCTGAGTTGATCTGGATGATTTTGGCATAAATGTATTTTTTTTCCAAAATTTAAAATTTTTATTATGGGTTACATCGTTATAATTGTCAAAAATTGATAAAAGTCCTAATTTTTAAAAATTTTAAACTGAGTACGCAGATTTTTTAAACTACTAAAAACTAACATAGGAGTGATTTTAGAATTAAAATTAATACATTTTTGGCTTAGTTATGAGATTTTAAAATTTTATTTGTAGAGAATATTTCCATGTATAAATATAGACAAATATCGACTCAAAGAATGGTATTATTCTAATGGTCCGAAGCCTAGAACGATGTGAATGAGTCATTTCCGACCTTATAATTCATATATATTCTTGATCAGCATTAAAAGCCGAATCGATCTAGCTATGTCTGGACAAAAAATCAAATTTAAATTTTTGAAAATTTTATAAGAGGTTACATCGTTAAAATTGTCAAAAACGGATAAAAACCCAAATTTTTGTAAATTTCAAATTGAATATGCAGGTTTATTAAACTACTAAAAACTAACATAGTAATGGCTTCCGAATTAAATTGCGTTTTTGGCTTAGTTATGAGTTTTTTAAACTTTAATTTTTCAAAAAAGTGCCTATATAAAATATTGATTTGAAAAATGAGAATATTTGATAGATTTTCAATACGATTCTTTATTGTTAATTACCTTGTTCTTTATTTCACGTGTCTTTCAAATGAACTCAATTATTACATTTGCAGGGTTACAGGGTAAGACATTCTGATTGTCTCTTAGTGCGCTTGGGAGGCCTTGGCCGTAGGTCCTTGCCTTCTGTAGGGTTCCATGGCCGCACCAAAGTGCCCTTTGCCTGTAGGTATTTAAGCATGTCGGTGCCCTTCTTTTTCTTCTCCGCAGCATCAATTTCAGCCTGTTTGGCCGCCTTGGCTGCATCCTGGGCGGGTTTCAGCAATCGTTTGGGATACCGCACCGGAATAGGATCGCTTTTCGCAGCTTTTCCCCTGCCGGCCATACCTGGAAAGCCCATCCAGGGACCGGTTCCAGGCCCACTGGGTACTTGCCTACGTCCGCGTCCTCCAGCAACTGCACCATCTGCTGTACCCCACATATTCGTTGGCATAGTTCGACCGCAGGGCATAGGATTTGGACCGTGAGGGCCGCCTCCCCTCAACCCGAAAACGCCGTCTTCGAAGACTTCCTCTTCAGGCAAGCCGAAAGACGTGCCCATGTAGCGATCCCCGACTGCACAATCAAATGCCTTGTAGTAGGGATTATCTGACACAGGATTTGTGGGTGGCAGCTCCCATCCGCGTATCTCGGTCTGCGTGCCGTGGTTCACCGTATTGCAAATTGACTCCCTGGGCCAGCGAGTATCCGCCGGCGGAGTCACATTCAGATCGAACTCCAGGTCGCTGACACTGGTGTCGGTGAGTACAAGGTGCTCCGGGCAGGGTTCCATGAGCCGACGCCGGCACTCCCTCCGGAGCGCCTTGTTCAGCTCGAACTTCTCGAGGGCGTCGCGACAGGTGCAGAGCATGAGGGACTTGTGGCAGGTGCACTTCTCAAAGCCCTTATCCTTGAGAGCACGCCTAATCTGGCGCAGAGCCACCGCTAGGTGGCTCTTCACGATTTTGAAGATGATCGGCTTCTGACTCTTACCCATGGTGGCCAGGGGACGCAAAGTGACAAAAATCTCGCCATTCCGTTTGCATACATTCAGCACGGGCTTAGCCATCCTGTGGCGCCGATCTTCATCGCAAATTATCTTTCGGTGCGTTGGTAGATTTTGATCTCTGTACGCCAGGAAGTAGCGCATGACGTGGCCAGAGGATCGCAGGATGGCTCCCGGCCGCCACCCTTTGGTGCGGGCCTCAGCTGAGTTGGTCCAGCTCCAGCCATGTCGTCGGGACACCGCGTTTCCGGGTGGCAGGCATTCCTTGTGGCCTGCTTTTTGACGATCTTCTGTCAGGGACTGCGGCCTGCCTCCTTGGTGTAGCGTATCGGTCAGCTCCTTGATGGAGCGCCTCGGCAGCAAAGTCTGGGACCGGCAGCGCAGCTCCAGAGCCGAGAGCTTCTTGAAGTCATGCAGCTCGTACAGGTTCTTCATCTCATGGAAGACCCTTGAGAGGTAGGGAAGCTCATCGTCCTGCGACTCTTGTATCACGCAGAAGTCCTCGTCAGGGCCGGGCTTAGGTACTCTTGGGGGCGGCTTTGGCACCGGAGGGCTCTTGTAGATGTCCTCGCACATTTTACGGACGCGACAGTGGGCACATATTTTGTGCGCGGTGCAGGTGCATTGACAGGGTGGGCACTCGTCTCCCTCGCTGTCCCGGTTTTGGCCCACTTGGTGACTCGAAATGCATGGACCCAAGCAGAGTTTGTCGCCTCCCTGCGGCCCACTCGACCTCACCAGCTGCTCGGCTACGATCTGCATCGCCGTTAGTTGTTCCTTCGGATCCTGGCAGGGTAACACGGGACGCGTCTTCGTATTGCAGCGGGGACAGGGCATGTACTTCGGCAGCCAGGACATCGAATACAGGCAGACGGGACAGTAGCGAATGGGTTTAACTCCGGACAGATCCTCAGGCTCCGATCTGAGTGGGACTGGAATCCAGCGCTCACCCACCGGGTATCTGGTAGAAGTTGTCAGTGTCGGTATGGTTAAGCCGCCTGTGCAGCAATCCATGTTCTTTACCCTCTCGGCCACCGAATCTATAATCTGGGAGTACTCCTTGGTGAGCCTTTTCAGGCGGCTGAATGAAGGTTTCTGCTTGGGGCAGGGGTCATCCTTTGGGAAGGTGACGCGATGATTGTGATCTCGGTAGCGCTTCAGGTCCAGACTGAGGCGCACGTCGCCCTCTTCCGCTTCAAGCTCGGAGCATGGATCTGTGGGAATTTGCAGCAGAGGGTCGGGATCACCGATGAGGAACATCATGTCCTGCGGATTGATGGTGGGTCCTTGGCCGGAGCAACTTACACGACTTCCCTTCCCTTGTCCATCTTGGCTCTGTGGGACTCCTTCGCATTTTAGGGTTAGTCGGACAAGGATGCTAATCGATCCCACGACATCTTCGAGACGTATTAGATCCACTGTATCTTCGCGTAGCAGGTCGTTCATGGCGGGGCTTATTTTTCCCAGAAAATCCGATGGAAAGGTCACAGACGCCTTGCCCAAAGTTGACCTCTGATAGATGACAGCCAGCTCCAAACCCATCTGCTCTAGGTTGTTGCGTACCACCTCCGGCTCCGAGAGGAACTCAAATTCCCGATTGGCCACAAATCCGCTAACGTTCACTCGGCTGGAGGTCAGCCTTAAGTCGTTGCCCATGAACTTAAGTTTCACAGCAACCTGTAACGGATCCTTGAATGTTACGCCGAAGACCTCCAAATGGGTCACGACCACATCAAACAGAAAGGGAACGCTAATATTCATTTCTAAGCTTGTATTACTTGGGGTTCTTCGTACTTCCGAATTGAAAGATGTAACCAAAACCTTTGAAAATTGGAAAGCTGAAAGCTGCAACAGCTGAAAAATTAAGGTTTGTAAGGTGTTAACGAGGGAACAGAAGGTGTGTATGTGGATATAATTTTTAGATTTGATGGCATTTAGGTCAAGGCAAATATATCGAGTGGAAAAGTTTATATTAGTCTATAAAACAGAATATAGACTATTCTCACATATATTCCAACGTGAAATCGAATTTTATGTATATTATATATTGGTAATCCAATATTTTTAGTATTCTCTAATCTTGATCTTTGACAAACACTTAAATAACATCACGCTTAAACCAATTAAATTTGTATTATTTATTATCATATTAAGCTTGAAAATAAACAAACAAACAGTTAAACCTCGTGTTCGTATTTCGTCACAAAACAACCAGTTTTTCATAAATAATAATACAGTAATTTTAATTACGATTGGCAGGTTTTATAATATTAATACTCTTCCTAATCAAAAAAAGTCGAAATTGAATTATAAACAGTTTTAAGCTGTGGAACGGGTTTCGGATGCTGGTATAAAAGGGGTCGACTGGATCAATTTGCACTTAAAACTCCCATAATGAAGATCTTCGCTCTGTGTGGATTCCTGCTCCTCGCCCTGGCTGCCGTCCAGGCCACTCCCAAAGTGCCGGAGAAGAGTAACATTGGTCCGAAAGTCATAGCTCAAACGCAGGGAAAGTAGATCTGTTTTTGTCAAACCCTTTGAATAAAATGTTGAATACTTCTGCTTATTCGATTAATTATTTGTCTTATAAGTTTATTTCACGTTTCTTTTGAATGTACATAATTTTTCAATTTGCAGGGTTACAGAGTAAGACCTCCAGGTTCCCGTTTAGTGCGCTTGGGAGGCCTTGGACGCACCAAAGTGTCCTTTGCCTTTAGGTATTTAAGCATGTCGGTGCCCTTCTTTTTCTTTGCCGCAGCATCCATTTCCGCCTGTTTGGCCGCCTTGGCTGCATCCTGGGCGGGTTTCAGCAATCGTTTGGGATACCGCTCCGGAATAGGATCGCTTTTCCCACCTTTTCCCTTTCCGGCCTTACCTGGAAAGTCCTTCCAGGGTCCGGGTCCAGCCCTGCTGGGTACTTGCCTACGTCCGCGTCCACCAGCTCCTCCAACAACTGCACCATCTGCTGTACCCCACATATTCGTTGGCATAGTTCGACCGCAGGGCATAGGATTTGGACCGTGGGGCCCGCCTCCCCTCAATCCGAAAACGCCATCTTCGAAGACGTCCTCGCCCGGTAAGCCGAAAGTCGTTCCCATGTAGCGATCTCCGAGAGCGCAATCGAAATCCTGGTAATAGGGTGATACCCGCATGGGGTACATTGGCGGCGGTGGCAACGCGTCCGTCTTGGATGTCTGAGTCGCGTGGTTTACCGAGTTCCGGATGGCCTTAATATGGGATCTGTAGTTTCTAGGCGGCGGATGGACATCCAGGTTGAACTCCAGGTCGCTGACACTGGTGTCGGTGAGTACAAGGTGCTCTGGACATGGTTCCATGAGCCGACGCCGGCACTCCCTCCGGAGCGCCTTGTTCAGCTCGAACTTCTCGAGGGCGTCGCGACAGGTGCAGAGCATGAGGGAATTGTGGCAGGTGCACTTCTCAAAGCCCTGATCCTTGAGAGCACGCTTAATCTGGCGCAGGGCCACCGCCAGGTGGCTCTTCACGATCCTGAAGATGATGGGCTTCTGTCTAACTCCTAGACTGGCCAGCGGGCGCAAGGTGACAAAGATCTCACCATCCCGCTTGCAAATATTAAGGACTGGTGAGTCTTGTTCCTGCAGTTGCTCACATTCGGCAGGGATCTGGCTGTCCTCCTTGGAGGTAAGGAAGAATCGCATCACTTGCACGGCCGCCCGCCGGATAGCTCCTGGTCGCCAGCCATGCTTCCTGGCCTCGTGGCTTTGTGACCAATTCCAGCCATGGTTCCGCGGCACCATGGGGTCTGGCGGCAAGCAGTGCTTATGGCCAGCCTTCTGCCGAGTAATGGATTCTCTGACTTGGGCATTAAGTCTACTGTGCTGTGTCTGGTGCAGACTAGGCGCAGATCTCATGGTCAGCAGTGTCTCGGACTTGCAGCGCTTACGAATGGCATTGATCTTCTTGGTGTCGTGCAGGGCATACAGGCTCTTCATTTCGGAGAAGACCCTCGAGAGGTAAGGGCGGTCGTCGTCTTCCGGCCCCGGAATCAAGGAAAAGTCTTCACTGGAGCGCGGATCGGGATAACGTCTGAGGCTCAGGGCTCTCTCCTGCTCTGCCCTTTTCTTTGCATCGACTTCGTTATTGAAGATTTCCTCGCACAATTTGCGGATGCGACAGTGCGCACAGGTCTTGCCGTCCTTACATGTGCAGCGGCAGGATGGACGCTCTGCGTCCGAGTCTGAGTTCACCATAGGCTGAGGCTTGTCCTTGTCAAGTAGCCACTCTTTGGAAGTTCGGCTTACTGCATCGCAGGGAGGCAGACAGAAGTCCTTGGTTTTTGGCCTGACCAGCTGCTCGGCCACGATTTCGTTGGCGGTCATCTGCCTCTCTTCCCTCAGCACGGGACGTGGTCTGGTGTTGCACTTGGGGCAGGGGGTATATCTCGGTAGCCAGGACATCGAGTACAGGCAGACGGGACAGTAGCGAATTGGCTTCACGCCATAGTCATCTTCGGACTCTATTGGCACTGGGATCCAGCGCTCAGAGCCGACCTCCTTCGGTGTCCTTGCGTTCCCAAAAAGCGATTCCTTGGGGCCATTAAACTGGTGGGCATGCGCGCTCGCTCCATCTTCTCGGCCACCGAATCTATAATTTTACCGAACTTATCTGTGAGCTTCTTCAATTGTCTGAGCGAGGGTTTCTGCTGGGGATCATCGGTCGGAAAGATGACGCGACGATTAAAACTTCGGTAGCGCTGCAGATCCAGCCTGAGTCGCTCATCGCCCTCCTCCATCTGGAGGTCGGAGCAGGGTTCGTCGGGGATCTTTAGGAGTGGATCAGGATCTCCGATGACAAAGAGCACGTCCTGCGGATTAAAAGTCGGCCCCAGGCCGAAGCACTCTTCCTTCTTCTTTTCCGGTAAACTGAGCTGAAGGATGTCTACACTGCTCATACTGGCTCTAGACATTCTGGTAAATCTCACACTGGGCTTTCGCTCGAACTGATCCTGTTCATTATCCTCACACTTAGCCATCAGGACAAGGAGGAAGTTTACGGTGCCGATGCTATTCTTCTGGCGCATTAGGGGAAGGGTTTCCTCATAAAAAATATCATTCATTGTGGGTCCAATCTTGTCTAGAAGTGTGTCTGGCAAGAAAACCTTGGCGTTGCCCAGCGACGACTTGTCATAGCGCAGTGCCACCACAACTCCGTCAGTCTCCAGCGCTTGACGCAGATCATCACAAGTTTTCGAGAAGGGGTACTGCTGGTTAACGTCGAATTCACTGACATTGATGAGACGGTTCGGGACGGTCAGCGAGTTGCCGGCGAACTTGACCACCGCATCGATCTTTTCGGAGTCCGGGTAATCCCTGAACAGCTTGGCGCGGATGATCGCTATGTTGAACAGAAAGTCCATTTCTTCGGGCTCCATCTTGAATGTCTCGGAAGAAAACCATCCAAAATTTGTCACGAGGTATAAATGATTTCATGTAAAATTGAAAAGGTGTTTAGTGTAAAGGTTGAGAACATACTGAACACTGGCATACATTGGGCTGACAGGGTATATGGATCAGGAGACAATAAACACAAGGCTTTAGTTTAAAAATTGAGAGGAAGAAAATCCTAAATCTTGCACAAATTCTCAAAAGAACTGATTTTCAAAGTCCCCGCAGTGATTAGGGTCCCATAGGTAGCTGTTTAGTTGAACTTTGAACTTCTCTCACCTGCGAAATGGATTCTCTTCCCGAAGGACTGTGGCCCAGCAAAATGGATTTTTAATTACCCCTGCCACTCCCCGCTACACTCCTCGATGCCTGTTGCCGGTGGATTCCCAGGGAAAATCGCGCTCTTATTTATCGCTACACCTTCCGTAAGCGGCTTAGCACGCAATGTTCCAAGGAAAAGCGAGGAAAACTCACACGACGCCCTCCTCGGGCCATTTATCAAATCAGCTCACATGCTTATCTAAATTAAGTTCAATTTTAATTAAATTTCGCGCATTAGGTTGACGCATACATATCGCTGCCGCCGAATTCCCGAACTATTTTCACAGTAAAAATGAAAACGTTGGCAGCCAGCGTTCCCTGACCGACTAAGCCGATTTAATTGGATACAAATTGGTGCGGCCAAAAAGCTCAGTGAGAGTTGGAGTGGGTGTGGGTTCATTGGTCAGGTCCTTGCTGTCCACGCCAATAGCCAAACAATAACAAATTGGATGCCCGGGCCCCAGGCGCAGGCGAGTTTCTGCTGGCCAAGTGGAAACCACTCGTGCATAAATTATACAACAATGGTGGCTGTATATATCCCAATTTGCTCTAACCGACAAGAGTGGGTCCAGCATCGGTGCTTTTTGGGCTTAAAGAATGCACACAATAGCACTTAATTTGTATACACTAATATGGAAAGAGTAGCGAAAGCGATTAAAGTCCATTTTCAAGGAATTTCGTTCAAGACCTGATGCCTAAAGATGTCGCATTCCATGCGGTTAAGTCGTATCTAGCCTTTTGCTGTTACTAAGAATGGTAAATAAATACTAAACTTAATAACACTGAAGAGTATTTACCTGTCTAGTGGCTCGAAATTCCTTATTTTGCTACAAATTGTTGGTCAGAGCTTGTGCAAATATTTTGGCGCCCCCTCGAAACGTGTGAACATGAGACCGCCGTGCCGGAGCAAACATTTTCAATTGTGGCTAGGAATTGGCTAAAATTCCTCTGGTCGAAAACGTGGCATTAATGACTTGTTAATTAGTTGGCCATTTTGTCGAGCAAAGCAATTGTAAAACAATTTCGGCGGCAATTGTCATTGGTCGAATTGGTGCCTTTGCCTTCGATTGCATAATTTATTTGCTGAATGGGTTTCTACTGATGGAATCGTCGACAACGGTGGAGACCACATATATTTGCATATTTGTACTCGTCTACGGAATGTTCGTCTAGCTGCAATTTAATTGCTTGCCAAATTAATGTCTGGCCGCAAAATAAATGCCAAAGGCACTTTGCATTGGCCTTAAGCCGAAAAGGCCACCAATTAGGGTGTAGGCCTTTGGATATACACAGCTGGGGGGGAAATACAAGTACTTGAACAGTATGATATATTGTATTTTAAGGGCTTGAGCAAAAATCTTGAGTGAATCACGAATTATTAAAAAGTTTTTGCAATAAACTATAAATCTGCTAGCGTGCAAAGCAACTAAGCTGTCAAGGTGCAACTAAGGTGTTTTCTTGCTCTCAACGTGATAAATAAATAAAAGAAATATATAAAATTAAAATCTATTTAGTTTCCAAGACCATACAACAAGTTATTGTCTTTTTCTTTCAGCTCTATTATCTTGACCATTGCTGTGTGGGTATGCGAAACATAAGTAGGACCTTAATAAATCCTTTTGGATAAACAATAAAACACAAAAGATGCTTCTTCTTCTGCTGGCAAAACTAATTCCGTGTGCTCTCTGCTGGCCAGCCCACAAGTAATTGGTTGGAGGGAAGTGGCAGTGTGCCTTTGGACCATGTTTTTGCTCTGGCGAGCACTCTTGGTTTTCGCACGTTACGTATACGCCACAGTGTACACCTCCTCCGGATGATGCTCCTTGTGGCTGCATCAAAACCACTGACACTGGGAGCGAGGAGCGAGAAGGAGCTCTGCTGTTTCTGTTTCTGTTTCTGCTGGCAGACAAATGAGTGCTCCCATTAAACGCTTCTGAAATATGCTGGCGAATCACTCACCAGGAGGTGAGAGGAGCTGCAGCACCCGGGGGCTGGAAGTGCGGTATTTCGTTTGCCAATAAATTTACGAATTCCGCAAGCCAGAACCAAGATTGCTCTCTGGCGGACAAAGTGTTAAATCGTGTTTGATTGCAGGTTTCCAATGGAAGCCTTATTTATTAAGGCTACAGTCTTTGGTAGATAAACTTACCACTCTCTGATCATAGAAACCTTTCAACTAATAATCAAAATGTTGTTTTATTTGTTTGGTCTTACATTGTAAATTTTATAAACATTTATGTAGCCTTAAAGGAAAATATCCTCCCTTTTTAACATCACCCCGCAGACTCCAAACTCCAACCGGCAAGATGCCCAAGAAAGGTAAGGGTAAGGGGAAAAAAGACAAGGCAAAGTCCAAGTCGATCGCCCAAACCTCGGTCATAACTACGACTGTAGTTGTCCCCAAGGAGCCAGTTTTCGATAGAAAACTGCCCGTTTTTTCCTTCGATTTCGTGATGACGCGTCTAGATGTGACTGGTGTCCAGTTGACCGATCCCCGCAAGCTTGTCGTGTCGGTTACATTTGGGGGTAACCATTTCGATCTAACGGCCAGCAAGACAAAGGTCGACGTGTTCGATTCCAATGCCACCCTGACCTTCCAAAAGGAGCCCAAGGATCTCGCAAATGACATCGTGGAGAACGGCCTGAGCTTCGAGGTCTGCTATGATAGCGAGGTGGTGGGTGTGGGCAAAGTCCGTCTGCCCAGGAAACTGACCAATAGCATCAACCTGGACATGACCGAGTTCTCCTACACGCGCACTTGTCGTTTGGAAATGGGAGGCAAGCCCAAGGGCAAGCTCGAGTTTCTCTGCAAGCTATTCATCAAGTGCGGAGACTATGCCAGGTGAGCAGCGGTTACCTTTTAAGGATGGTACTAAGTTCCAGGATACTTTGTTTCCAGGGTTGGCGAGACCTGTCGCAATTTGGATACGAACATTAGCCCTCAGGACATAGTGTTTGTCATTGGAAAGTCGAAGAATCATCCCAACTTATGCGATCCCTGCCGTGAAGCTCTGGAGATCGCGGCGAAAAAGGAGAAGGACTATGTTATCCAATCGAGTCCTAATCACAGATAACCGGTGATAACGGGAAGGGAGGTATTGATTAATATATAATGGCTGATTCAATGTAAAACCAATAAAATATAACATTAAAATTGGGACAAGGTCTCTTGGGAGGGATTTTGGCAAACAGATTTTTGTTAAAATGTAAGTTATAATCTCTACCATTTTGTATTAACTCTTTAAATATAGATTGAACTGGATAAAAAATATCTCTCCAGGATTCCTGGAAACCCCTCCTAGTTTGTATTTTAAACTGCATCCATGACATGCTTCATCTCACATCGTGTATCGATTTTCCTCGTTCAGCGCTTGTATTTGTTGTCCAAACAGCATTAAAGCTCTGGCTTAAATAATGGCCTTCTTGCAAATTTTTTTGGATACCCTTTCAGGGTATTATAATTTCAATAAAAAGTTAGCAACGCAGCGAAGGAATCATTTTCGACCCTATAAATCATATATATTCTTGATCAGCATTAACAGGCCAGTCGATCTAGGCATGTCCGGTCGAAAAATAAATTTTCAAAATTTTTTCAAAATTTCAAAATTTTATAAGGGGTTACATCATTGAAATTGTTAAAAATCGATAAAAACTAACATAGGATTGATTTCCGAATTAAAATTAATGCATTTTTGGCTAAGTTATGATCGATTAGACACTCTAATCTATGACCCTATGGCTCCATGAAAGGGTATACACACTACGGCTTCCCGCAGTTAGCTTACATTCCTTTTTTATATTTTTTACTTTGCTTGATTAGAATGTGACTTCAATTCGGGGTATTTTTCCCTGCTGGCTTTTGTAGATAAGCAAATATTTGGGGCCCGGGATCAGGTTGGATTTTTATTACACATTTTGCTCATTTTAATGTCCTCTCCTTGAGATATTTGCTGGAAATTTGACGGGCCCATGTGTGTGTCTGTCTGTACGCCTAAAGGAGAGTAAGTTCATCTATTTTTCATTTTATTTTATTTGCCGTCAGCACAGATGCTCCATAATCATATATGTGAATGGGGCTGTTGGCCATAATGCGGGAAATGTGTAGCCAAGGAAAATTTTAATATGGACTTCTCCTTGAGGATTGTGTCCCCTGCCATTGTGTCCCAAGTATCAAGTAAATAATTGAATATTTATTCGATTTGCGAACTTCATTTCGCTCCTGCTGCGCCGTGCTTAGTCCTGATTTCAGCTGGATTCCATTGTTGGGCCAACAGCTTTTTTAACAGCATCAAGTTAAATTACATCCGCTGCCTGACATAATATTGCATATTACACCAACAATGTGCGATAATAGCAGGACCCTCAGGACTCCCAGGACTCCCAGCAGAGGGAATCCCTGCCTGGGCCCCTGACTTTCGGTTGGTAACCACAGAGCGGAAATTAAAACTTCACTCGAAGGAGAATCAGAATGAGTGTGTTTCTGGATTTAAATTGGGTGGACCTTATGAGCCCAAATTCGATCTAGAAAATTAAGTCTTTGTTTTGTTAATGTATTTTAATTACTTGCTTTTTTTTTAAATAAACAAAATATTGAATATTTTTTAGGTTCCGAGTTGCCTTCTTTATTTATAGATAGTTTTTAATACACAGTAATTTGTTTCTAAATAAACTTAATATCTATGGCTGTATTTAGAAACCTTTCAAGACTCAAAAAATCCAATTAAAATTTAATAAAACCGCATGTCCTTCCACATTGCATATCCTCTCCCTCCTTTTCTCATTGCTGTCTGGTCCTGTTTTCTGTGCATCCTTGGGAGAAATGCAGACGGAAAAGCAACCAGACATATATTCATTTGCGGTTCGGCGCATTTCGTGTTTGTGTTTGGCTTCGAATCGAATTCCGGCACACACGTTTTTTTAATAAACTCAGAATTCCTCACACGGTCAGGGACTATTTGCCACGCCCATATTCCCCTAGTATAGAGACAACCGGCAGTGACATGACGTTATATATATTTTGGGGGAAATTAAATTTGTGGAAGAAAAGCTAACACTTACCTGCATACTTTTTTGGAAATAATTGAATCTGATATCGAATGCAATCAAAATCACTGGCTGAAAATGTAATTAAGCGAAAGCCAAACACAGGAGAATGATTCTGCTTATCAATATGTTTTCAGTATTTATTTAAGTATTTCTCACTTTACTTTAGTAGTTTCCGTTTGAGTAAACTTAGTTGAGAGATTTGTCGATTTATACAGAACAGTGAAAGAGTACGTTGACGGGGAAAAGGCAGGAGGTGGTGTCAACTTAGGGATACAGATGCGATTCCTTTGGATTGAGACATAAATATATAGTACAGATACAGAGATGCACACAAAACACTTACGTAATATTTGCAATTTATTTCTTTCTTTCCTTTTTAGTTTCTTATAATTTTAATAGGGGGATCTCTCTGCTACATATTTGCAATGACAACGCACACACATTTAACTAGTTAGTTAATTACTGATATTTGTTTAGCCATAGGTATTTATACGCTAGTTAGACTATCATTTGCAATGGGACATCTTAAAGAAATAGGCATATCAGTTGTTTTTAATAGAGAGTTTGTTAAACTGGTACTAGATTATACTCCAATAAGATGGAGTGATTTGCTTATTTCCCTAAAATGCCCCAATTACACCGCTAGACAGCAACAATGAACTATTAATTTCCACTACGGTTTCGCTTGAGATTCAATAATTTACAATTTAATTTGCTATATGCTCTATGCTCTATGCGGATTATGTATGTACTTCCTGTTTTAGACTATTAAATGCTTTCAGCATAATTGTGGCTTACCTGGCTACATGCGGGGCTGTGACCTCTGTTAAGTTAATTAGTTTAATTTTATTTAGTTTAATTTGCTTGCTTGGTTGCTTGCGATTTCACTTACTTAGGACTAGACCAAAAACGTTCAAGTTTCACTGAGCGTTTTAGTTTTTTAGGGTTTCTCGGTCGGTAAATTCGAAAGTGGGAGAGCAGAGGTACAAAAAGAGCCTTACATACAGTGTATTTCTTTGGATATTTTGCTTACGACTAAAGAACTTTTTAGTTTCCGTTTCTTCTGCCGAATCTTTGGTTACTTTAGACAGATATTCGAGGTTGTGTTTCCTTTTGTATATATATATATATTTTTTGTATTTACATAATTCGCGGCGAGATTACTCGCTCTTACTGGCTAAAGTTAAGGTTACAGTTTACAGTTAACAGTTTACACAACGCAATCACCTAAAGGTACAAATTAGTAAAGTAAAGGTACAGAAGGGATTCCCCTGGCCCTGTGTGTTCGTGTTTGGATATGTGGCTGTTGGGTGTATGTGTCTCTGTTTTTGGTGTTTGTAGTTATTAATTCAAAACTTTTCTGATATGTGTTGTTGGAGAGTGTGTTTCAAAGAAGCTTAAACTGTGGCTGTCGCTTACCATTCACCATTTCCCCGGGGCTTTCGGCTGAGGCTCTTTCGGTTCCTGTCATAAAATGCACTTTTCCCCGAATTTGATGCGAAAATGCTGCTCACCAGCCGGGGGAAAACTCACTGGGGAGCGGCAACGGGATATAAAGTCACTAATGCTGTGGCATTTCCACCGCCCAACTCAACAGAGCTCAGTTTGGTTTATTTCAGCTCAGTTCAGGGAATGTGTCAGATTCTACGTCAATTGTATGGCCATTAAACTAGAACGCAGCATCGACAGTTTCGTTTCCTGGGCCTCAAAGCACTCGAAAAATAACAGGGAAAAAGTTCAACAACTTGTTAAATTTTTTAAGCCTTGACTGATACCAAAATTTAACTGAAAATATAGTTTTAGGTCACCTATGGAAGGGAAGCCCTAAGTCCACAAAAACCCTTCTATTTCAAGTTGATTTTCGAATTTTGTCGTATATTTTGTGACTTTTTCTCACCATTTTAAGTTATCTCTGCCGTGCCAGAGTAAAGTTTTGTTGGTGCGCCTGCATTGGTGGGCGGGAAAATCCTTTCCCAGGACTTGGCATGACAGTTTCAGCCCTTAATGCAGTTGGGCCAGTTGTCAGTTTTGAAAATGCTGCCGACTGCGAAAGCACTTTGCTAGGGAGGATGGCCAACAGAAAAAACTTCGATTAGATAATTTGTTAAAGGTCACTCCTGGCCAGGACACTTAACTCCTTGTAAATTTGTGACTGCAACGCTGGAAATCTATTTGAAAGGGTCCTTGCGGTTATTTTCCCTTTGACTTTAGTCTAGTTTAGTCATGGATTTGCTCAGCTCTTCAAATATATAACATAAATATTCGTCCGCATTTATTTAAGCATGCAAACAAAAGTGTGGAAAACGACTGCAGTCATGGATAAATGGATGGATGGCTGGATAAATGGATGGATGGATGGCTGCATGGCTTGATGGCTTGATGGCTTGATGGATGGAGCGGAGCTGGCAGCTGATGGGCGTGGCGGGGGCCCCAAATCGCAGCATGTTTCACGGCAATCACTCGGCGCATTGTTTGCGCTGCTCCGTTTTTATTTTCGCTGCAACAACAGAATCGACAGAGAAAAACGGGAAAGGCCCGGAAAAACTGGGGAAAACTGGAGAAGAAAAAAAAAGAACAGGGCGGCGCAAAATATTAAGTAAACAAAAGGCGAACGCGCTAAAAAGAGGAGGGCGAAGGCGAGAAAGAAAAGGCTTTCAGCATTTCACTTTTCATTGCGTGCCATCGTAAAATGAAAAGTAGTGCGAAATATTTGAGCGGAATCTATGTCAGCAGTTCGTCGTAAAAACGCTCACGTTGCCCCCACCATTTTTATGCCCGGAAAACTGCTCGAATTTCCCTCTTTAAGCTTCATTGCAGTTTTTCAGTTTCGCCTTTGCCACTTCTTGGAAAAGCCCCGGTCTGTCCTCTTCGCAATTTGGCCACTTCCCGCGAGTTGCAAACCGATCTAATTAGGCAGGAGTATTGAAAGGGACACGGTCCAATGAAAAGGATCCAAAGGGACAACTTTTCCATAATGATTATTGATTCAGGGACAGTCGCCAAGAGGAGCACTCATAAAGTTTTCTTTAGTTTTGCGCTGTCAAATCGCAGAAACTAGTTTATAATTCTTTGTTTTCCTGATCAAACTGGAAAT